ATGTATGAGACATTGGTTAAAAAAAAAAAAAAAAAGTACTTAGAAAACTGAGATAATAACATTAACTAGTTCTGTGGAGAAAAAAAATATATATATATATAAATTATCAATACTATATATCACAGCAGATAACTGGCTTCATTCTTCTATGTGGAAAATGAAGATATCCTTTAGACCCAGAATAAAAATAGGATTATCTAGCCCAATCCTTGTATTTCATAAGAGATGGGATCTGGTAGGTTGAATTGGCTAACTCAAGAGTACACAGCTGGTGAGTAGCCACAACTGGACTGAAATTCAGCTCATGACCCCCAAATTCAATGCTTATTCCCCCTACCTGTTTCTTCCCCTGGCCTTCTCAGAAAAGCAGGGGTTGGTAGACCAGAGTTGTTTCTAATCAGTTTCATTTATCCAATATCCTGCCAGTCTCAGAGGTAGGTTCCAGGGGAAAAGACAACTGCCACCTCTAGGTCATGTGCACATGATGGCCCCAAATGGTTTTTAGGTTTTCAAGCTGGCAGATGGTGAGCAAGCCTAGAAATAATGACAAAAATTCATCCATAAGTTCCAGAGAAGGCCAAAAAAAAAAAAAAAAAAAAAAAAAAAAAAAAAAAAAAGACACTTTAGGGGCTCTTTGGTGGAGAATCGGGAAACCTTACCAGGACCACATTCCTAGAAGCACAGGAGGGGCAGTGGCAGAGTACTGGGCTTAATGCTTGGCAGGTACAGTTTGTGTTCTTCATAAATCACGAATACCGGACCATCATTTTGCATTTAAGCCCCAACTTTTGTGATTGGCGGCTACGAAGAGTTGGCCACACAACCACTACTCCTTCTAGCCCTTGACAAATGGGACCAAATGGAAGGTAGCTTTAGGAGGGGAAAGAATGTTGGGAAAGGTCAGAAGAGCCTAGGAGCCACAGCCTTGGGCCTTTTCCAAGTCTGGCAAGACAGATGCCAATATAAACACGGTGTCTCACCCCCAAACCCTACCGCTGCCTGATTTCTTCAGCTCCAGGACGCTTTTCATCCTCCCTGCTCGGAACTCCCACGCTGCCAGAAGCGCTGACCTTCTGATGACAGGACAAGACAGTCCAGTAGCTCAAGGTTGTTTCCCAGTGAGGAACAAGGGAAAGGGCTGGTCCCTCAAGAGCTAAGGGAAGTTGCCAGGAGCAGCTGTGCCAAGACACCTATAGCCTCAGCCCAGGCTGAGAAGTTTAGAATAGGAAATTGGGGGGGGGGCAGCGGACTCGGTCAAGAGAGGTGACCGGGACCAGGCCCAACCCAGGTGCCTAGATGCGGAGAATCTGAACTCTGAAGCCAGGGGCCAAAATCCCGCTTTGAATACCGCGCCTCAGAGATAGGGCGGGGCCTCGGAGTAAGGCGGGGCTTTCCGTGAGGGCGTTGCTCTGACGGAATCTCTCAAATATGCTCCTAAGTACCCCTTCTATCGCGAGGGTTCCATAGTGTAGCGGTTATCACGTCTGCTTTACACGCAGAAGGTCCTGGGTTCGAGCCCCAGTGGAACCAAAAGCGGAAAGTGATCTTTCCTTTTGACGTGTCTTAATATTAGAGAAAAAAGGTTACTTCGTAAGTATTTTCTTCTTACCCTTATCTTTTTTTTTTTTTTTTAAATCCTTGTCACCCTAATAGCTTAGAATCGAAATTACAAGGCACTTATCTGTCAAGATCACGGCCACCATCGCCAGACCCCAGAAATAGGGCAAAGTGGAGACAGGACGAGTGAGTGGCCTTGGCAGGCACCTGCCCCACCTCTCAGCGTTACTCCCTGGCAATTCATGGGGAGCACCTTTCCCCCGGAGCCAGAACTGACCAGTCCCCAAAGCCTGCAGCGAAAATACGTCCACACAACAGTGCCATGACTGAGGCAAAATTATTAAAGGTTGGCTATGATTATGATTAAAGATTTAGCATTTCATTAAACTCTAACATGCAGAGCGAGAGAAGCAGCAGTCCTTTTTAATACGACTGTAGGGTTGGTGGAATACTCACCCATTTAAGGAAGAATTCATATACAATATAAAATAAATGCCAGAATTTTTTTTTTTTTTTTTTTTGGACTGGGTATCCCTAGTCCCAGCCCGCCTGGAAGTCACGATGTGAACCAGGTGGCCTCAATCTTGCAGAGATCCACCTGCCTGTGCCTCCCGAGGGCTAGGACTGGGGGTGCACGCCACCATGCCCAGCCTAAATGCCAGGCTTTTTTAATTTATTCATTACCTTTATTCTTTGACAATTTCACACATGTATATAAGGCATCCTGTGGGTATTTTTGTTTTGTTTTGCTTTGTTTTGTTTTGTTTTGTTTTGTTTTGTTTTGTTTTTGAGACAGCCCTGGCAGGCCTGGAACTTGCTGTGTAGACTAGACTGCCCCAAACTCACAGAAATCCACCTGCCTCTGCTTTCCAAAAGCTAGAATTAAAGGTATGCGCCTGGCATACACTTGGCATTCTGATTACTCTCACCACCCCCGTCCCCCAGCGTCAGGATTTATAGATATCCAGTTAATGCTGACTGGATGACCAAATGTTTATTTTGTTTTTGCTTCTTACTCTTTCATTACAGTTTCACTATGAGAAAGGAAACTCTTTCGGTGGGTGGGGGCTTTTTCATCTTTGACAAAAGGAATGAATGAAAAATATCTGGGGCTCTGAAGGCCCTGGGTATGGGCCAGCGTGGGATGGTAGTGGCAAAGAACTAAAAGGAAAAAGAAACTTCAGTTATGGTGTGTGTGTGTGTGTGTGTGTGTGTGTGTGTGTGTGTGTGTTTGATTTTTTGTTGTTTTTTTGTTTTTTGTTTTTTGAGACATCTCACTGAGTAGCCTCAGCTGGCCTGGAACTCTCAGATCTGAGTGTCTCTACCTCCCTAATGCTTGGATTAAAGGCATGATTCACCACACCCAGCAAACTTCAATATTTTTCTTGTGTTTTTTTCACATAGTTTTTATTATACAGTATATACATTTAGATGTTTTTCTAACTCAAAAAAACATAATTTTCCTGTTGTTAATAACTTATTCTTTTTTTAAGCCATCTTTTTTTTAAGGCAGAGTCTCACTGTGTAGCCCTGACTGGCCTGGAATTCCCTATACAGACCAGGCTGGCCTCCATCCACTGCCCTCTGACTGCCTAGTGTTGGAACCAAAGGTATAGTCCATCCACCACACACAGCTTTCATGCCATTTTAAGTATTAAAATATACAGTTCAGTAATGTTAATCTTTTCATGTTTCTGTGAACAGATCTCTTCATCTTGTAAAACTGAAACTCTATATTCATCAACCACTACTTTTTTCCTCCCATCAACTTTATTTTGAACTGCTATGTAATGATGATAGCTAAGAATGTCAAACATCAATCTAAGTGTTTTGTTTTGTAATGCAGGGAATCAAGGTGAGCTACATCTCTAGCCTTATGATCTTAAAGCGGAATGATACAAAATGCACAAAAAGCCTCAAAATACTCTATGACATGGACATTATTTTAAAAAAATATTTATTTTTATTTTATATGTATGAATGTTTTGCCTGCATGTATTTAGGTACATCACATGCATGCAGTGCCTTCAGAGGCCAGAAAAGGGCGTCAGATTCCCTGGATCTGGAATTATGGAGGATTGTGAGCCACCATGTGGGTCCTGGGAACTGAATCTGGGGCCTCTGCAAGAGCAGCCAGTGCTCCTAGCCACCGAGCCATCTTTCCAGCCCCTGAAGTAGACATTATTATCATTATTTTGCAGATAGAATATATTTGCCTTGGAGTCACAGCACAAGTGGTCACACTGGAATTTCCTCCCTGAGTGAGTAGGTGTCAACATGATGCCAAGCTCTTCTGGGAGAGGGCATTCTGTGGCATTTCCCTACAAATGGTGAATATCTGTTTATTCAAGATCACTCCCTAGAAAAGAATGACAATAAAAGAATTAAAACCCTGATTAAAAGAATTAAAAACTGATTCTAGTGTCTATTTCCCTTTATTGCTCCCCTTATATTTAAAGATAGAACAAAACCAGTATCTCCTTTCCTGAATGAGAACCTAAGTCGACGATGTGTTCTCTGAAAATTCTTGTTGAGGCCAGTAACTGTGTGGGTTAACTTGAGGGGGCCCAGTGGAAGATCTAAGAACTAAACAGAGTAAGATGCTTAGTGAGTCCAGTGCTCAAGTTAATCGCCTGCTCCTAGGCTGGCTCCCCACTTCAGTTAGGTAGAACTGTGGCCAAGGACTAGGGGAAAATGCCGTGCAAGATAGAAGGATTCCTCTTACTACTTCTCTTTGGCTATGAAGGTATGTGTGATTCAGCCATTGGCATTCATTACACACTTAATAATGCAATTAATTAAGACAATAGTTGATAAATAGAAATACCTGAATAATAAAATTATTAGAGAATAGCACTTTAATTAGCTAAAGGGTTATAAATAAACAACAGTCATCTTTGTGTGGTTATGCTTTTTATTGTCTTGCTACTGGCTTCATGGTTCTATGGGAACCTTCTAAAGTTCAAAAGATGTTTAAAATCCAAAAGAAAGAGAGAAAAGCCTCAGACATTGTATAAAACTGTAAATTACAACAATGACTGAGAAAGCATGTATTGTTGAAACTTTGAGATGAGTCAAAGTTAGAGCAGTTGTAGAATTTAATCTTCTAAACCTATTATTGATGGTAAAGGGTGAAGCTATTAATAGCTCTGCTGGGACAAGTGTAACCAGGACTGTCCCAGTCAAATCAGGACAAAGGGTCATCCTAGTTTAAATATGGATTAGCATAAGGCCAAGTACCACTGGAATCTAATATAAATCTAATAAAATAATCTGAGAGTCAGAAAACCCTAAAGACTCAATCCACTCCATCACTTTAAAAATGTCTAAATGTGTCCCTAGGAGGCACAAATTAAAGTCAAATCTTTAAAATGTCAATCAAATCAACTTTTAAATTCTCAAGCTCAGAAATAATACTCTTTCACACCTCTTTCAAGTTTCAAGTACCCATCAATTCAGAATTCTTAGTTCATTCATGCAGACATTAGAAACTGGTAGAAGAGCTATGAATGTAGTTCAATGATGCATTGTGCCTAGCCTTCATGAGGCCCTGAGTTCAAACTCCAGGAACACTGGAAAAAAACAACTAATCCTTTGTCTGGCATAGTTCCACACACCAGCAATCCTAGCACTAGGCAGACTAAGACAGAAAAAGCTTCAGTTGCACAGCATTTGAGGCCAGTCTGGGCTACCTGAGACTCGGTCTCAAAGAAGAAGGGGGAGGTTAAAAGATGGGGAAGGATCTGGGCTATCCTAAACTACATAGTAAGATCATGTCTGGAAGGAAGGGAGGTAGGGCAGGAGGGAGGAAAGGAAGAAGGGAAGGAGGGAGGGAGGGAGGGAGGAAGGAAGGAAGGAAGGAAGGAAGGAAGGAAGGAAGGAAGGAAGGAAGGAAGGAAAGAAAGAAGGAAGGAAGGAAGGAAACTGAATGTCTTTTTCTGGTTATTGTGCATTATGAGTGTTACAGGGAAGACAAGGCCTCTCTGCTCTGTAAATGACCTGGCTGGCAGACAAGATGAAACAGATGAGTCAGAATATCTGCTTTACACCACTGTCCTCCGTTTTCTCTATTATATATTATATATGTGTATATATATAATATATATATAATTTTATGTACTTATTTTTTAAGACAAGGTCTCTCTACGTAGCTTTGTCTGGTCTGGAATTTGTTATATAGACCAGGCTGGCCTGAATCTCATAGAGATTCACCTGCCTCTGCCTCCTGAGTACTGGGATTAAATGTGTTTGTAACCACGCCAAGCTTCTCCCTATATTTTATTGGGTAGTGAAATACCCACTTTTATGAGTCCTCATTCTTGTGACTTCTGTTATTTAGTCACATTTCTAGTATTTGGAAAGACCTGTGAAAGCATAAGCCCAAGGTCATATCACAAAGCCTAAGATACTGTCTTTTCTTATTGTTTTGAGATAGAATCTCACACAGTAGCCCAGACTAGCCTTTGAGCTCATAGCAATCCTCCTACTTCCAACTCCTGAGTGCTGAGATTTCAAGAATGTTCCACCACACACAGTTTTTAACCAAGATGGATGGCGTCTCCCGAGGAAGGACACCTAAGACTGTCCTCTGACCTCCACAGGCACAAGTGCATCAAACCCTTATCTGCATACCTGGAAGAACTTAACACTCAAGATTAACAATGCTACTCATTGGGAAGAAGTCTTTATAAGTTTACTAATGGTGTGTGTGTGTGTGTGTGTGTGTGTGTGTGTGTGTGTGGTGTATTTGCACCTGTGTGGGGGCGTGTTTGAGCCCCACTGATCCTCCTATCTCTATCCCTCACACTTACTGGGGCTACAGGCCCAGCTTGTGACATAGGTTCAAGGATTTGAACTCAGGTCCTAGAGCAGTGCAGGAAATTTTCTTAGCCACTTCTCTAACCCCCAATACACTTTTAATTTTATTTATTTTCTTTTAAATTCTTTTAAAATATTTTATTTTATTATTTTTTAATTTTTATTGAGATTTTATAATTCGTATAATAGTTATTAATCAAATTTGGACCCCCCTCCCTTATCCATGTCCCCCTCATCCCCCCACCGGACCTTGTGTGTTCCACCATACACGTTAAGTCCCATCCAGTCAAGCATTTGTACTCATATGTCCTTCAATGTAGATTCGTCTACTGGAGTCTAGTCAGCCCATCTAGAGATCGTACATAAGGGATACTCTTCCTCATCCAGCATCAATCAGTCTCCAATAGTTCCCAGTCTAGGACTGGCCCATGACCCATTTCTCTCCTCTTCTCTGGGCCCTTGTTTAATTGAGTTGGCATGGGTCCTGCGCTGGATGCCACCATTGCCACAAGTTCACATGTGCAAGCTTCCAGTGGCCTGAAAGCTTCTGTTTCCCTGTGTTCACGAACCAGCCCTGGCTCTTATAATCTTTATGCCCCCCTCTTCTGCAGTGATCCCTGAGCCATGGTGGGGTTCAATATAAGAGTCCTGTCCTAGGATACACACTCTGCAGTCTCTTATTCTTTAATACTTGGCCAGTTATGGCCTTCTGTGTGCATTGCACTCTTTGTATAAGGAAACCTTACTGGTGAGAATTGAGGGATGCATTAGTTTTTTATCTACTCCTTGTTCCACTATGTTCCATGAACCTTACCTGTAGAGGTTCAACGGTAGATGTATCACCTAATACTTGGCATCTCTCAGAGGTATATTGTCTATGTCCGACCAGTTATAGAATTCTGAAGTAGCCTCCATCTGTTGCAACAAGGAGCTTCTTTGATGAGTGGTGTATGGTATGCTTGTCTGTAAATATAAGGATCCGTATTTAGCATATGGTAAGAAATTTCATTTGCCTAGAGATATGAAAGACACAGGGTTTTCTCAAAGAACTACGTCCTCTCCTGCCATGTGTATTTGGCTGAGTTTACAGTGCCACCCATGAGTTCGCTCCCATTGACAGGGCTTTAAGTCCAATTAGATAGCTGTTGATTGCCCCCTCCCCATAACAGTGCCACTACTGCACTAATAGAGGTAGTGTGCTGTACCAGTTGTTAGGGCTGGGTTGGACCACTGATTATTTTTCTCCCTTGACAGTTTGCATATTATCATCCAGCATTATGATAGCTAAACTTCAGGTAGAAAGATTCCAGGTCAGTTCCCCCTCTATTGCTCTGAGTTCTATATCCAAAGCACATCCCGTCTTCAGTGGTAGGGTCTTATCTACTAGTTCTGGGAGATAATCAAGAGGTTTGGCAATAGCCTGTGTTAGTTTGGGAGTCTCCTGGTCCACTATCACCAACCACTCAAAGGGAGGTCTCTTCTGTCTGGCACTGTGTTCCTTGCCAGCAGTTCCCAGGTATACATACGCACTAATGTTTAGACACTGTTTGGCATTTCTCATGGGGTTTGGGGGGCATCACATTTCCCTCTGGGTTTCCTAGGCCCCCAAGATTCATTCATCTCTACTCTTTTTCCTCCCATCCGGCCTCCCTCCTCCCTCCCCAATCCCAGAACCCCCATTATCACCACCCTCCCACCCAATACCACTTGACTCTCACCATCCTTCCTCTCCTGACTCCCCCCCACACACATGCACCATGGCTCCTTACATGGTCCTCCCTCCTTTCCTCCCTGCTGAACACTCCCACTTTCCCCATCATCCCCCTGGTAGCATCTTTTTCCTACTAACCCCCTCTTTTGAGTTCTTCCTTTTCCTTTACCTTTGGGTACCCTTTCCCTTTACATGGCTCCTGGTGTTACATCAGAATATATATACTCACATATAAGGGACTGGTGCTACAATCTGCAAATGAGGGAGAACTTACAACGCTTGCTTTTCTGCATTTGTGTTACTTCACTTAGTATACCACTCTCTGGTTCCATCCATTTACCTGGAAATAACTTCATCATTTCTTACTGCTGAGTAGAACTTCATTGAGTAGATGTACAACATTTTCATTAACCATTCATCATTTGAGGGACATTTAGGTTGTTTTCATTTCTTAGCTATTGTGAAGAGAGCAGCAACAAACATGGAGGTACAGGTATCTGTACAATATGATGAGTCCTTTGGGTATATGCCAAGGAGTGGTATAACAGGATCATATAGTAGGTTCATTTTTTAATTTTTTGAGAGTTCTCCACAATGCTTTCCACAGTGGTTGCATGAGTTTGCATTCCCACCAGCAGTGAATGAGCGTTCCTTTTTCTCCACATCCTCTTTAGCATTTGGAGTCTTTTGTTCTCTTGATCTTAGCCAGTCTGACTTGGGTACAATGGAAGCTTAAAGTGGTTTTTAATCTGCATTTCTCTAATTACTAAGCACCTTTCTAAGGTTCTTCTTAGCCATTTTATTTCTTTTTTATTTCTTCTTATTTTTATTTTTTATGTGTATGAGTGCCTACATGTAGGTAGGTGCACCTGTGTCCTGCAATGCCCTTGGAGGTCAGAAGAGGGCATCCCATGGAACTGGAGTTAGGGACAGTTGTTAGCCACCATGTGAGTGCTAGGATTTGAACCTGGGTCCTCTTCAAGAGCAGCCATTGCTCTGAACCACTGAGTCACCTCTACAGCTCCCCGCCCCATACACTTTTTAATTAGACCTGCCCTTTTCAGAATCTGTAACAAAAGACAAGCTGTGGAAAGAAGAAAATGGTAGGACTCTTTCCTTTTCTATAATGTCTAATCTTGTACATGGCTAAGGAGCTCCGGAAATATCCAGAAAGAGTAGAGATACCGTCTGTCTAGGTAGAAAGGTTGAGTGGAAAG